GCCCGCCGTGGCCCGCCGGCACCTGGGCGCGTCACGACGCGAACGCGCGAGGACGCGGCGCGCCGCGCAGGCGCGAACCGCGAAGTTCCCAAGATCCAGCGCATTGAACAAATCAAAAGACGGAGGCTTTTCGCAAGTTTCGGCCCCTGGGGGCCCGCGCCGGGCCCCCAGGGGCCGCCCCAAAGAACAGCGCAGGATGAGAAGCCGGTCCTGGGTATCGGGTCGAGACCTCCAGGGACCGCGCGCCGAACAACTCGCGGCATCGAGTCTCTGGGTTTGGCGCCCCCGTTCCCCGGACATCCACCGTCCGGCCAGGGGGAACGGGTCGGACCGTCGGGGCCTCGGGGGCCCCATGTGGAGGATCCGATGATAGGGAAACAACCATTGACATGAGCATAAGATCTCGGAGGTCAGCGCGGATTGCTCGGATCGGCACTGGACCCCCCTTCCCTGGCGCGCGGAGCGCGCCAGGGGCGGCTCCCGAGGCGCCCGCCAGGGGGGCCCAGCGCCGATCCGAGAAACCCGCGCGGACCTCCGAGTTTTCATGCTCATGCCACTTCCTGTTCCCCTACAGATGTGGAGGATCCGATGAGACGTGGGGCGTCTGGGTCCTCTGGCGGGGCCCCATGCTTGGCATCGCTCGGACGTGTGGATTTTTCCTTCGGCGAGGACCATCGAGGAGCATCCTTGACCATTTGGCGAAAAAGCCACGCGCGAAACCGACAAAAAACACAGGTCATGGACGTCCGAGCGATGGCCAGCATGGGACCCCATGACTCCTCGATCCCGCCCCCGGGGGCCGGCTGCTCGCCCCGGGCCGTGCCGTGGACGGCCCCGGCAGTACGAGAACGGGGGGGGGGGGGGTGGGGGGGGCCCGGCCCCCAGGGGCAGCAGACCGGAGGTAATTTCATTTTTGGTTGTTTGTCGGCATGCCGCGCGGGGCAGAAGCCGCGGCGCGCGCCGCCAGGTCCCCCTCCTCATCCTCCTTCCTCCCCCCCCCCTCTCCACTCCTCCATCCTACCTCTCCTCCTCCTCCTCCGCCTCTCCTCCTCCTCCTCCTCCTCCTCCTCCTCCTCCTCCGCCTCGCCCTCTCGGCGGGGGGCCCGGCGCGGGGACGCCACCGCCGACGCCGCAGTCGCCAGGAGTCGAAGAAGCACACAGAGCCAATAATAAGCGTACGATTTCGGCACTGCGCGCGGATTCCTCGGATCCGCGTTGGGCCCCCCCCCCTCCCGACGGCGCCTCTGGCGCCGCTCCCTGGCGCGCTCCTGGCGCGCCAGGGAGGGGGGGGTCCAGCGCAGACCCACGCAAGCCGCGCGGAGCGCCAAAAGTTGATGTTTATGGTTTTTTGTTCCTTCTTCGCACGGCGCCGACGCCACAAAGCGCCGCCGCTGCCACCCGACGGCCAGGACCTGACCAACGCCGGGGGCGCGATCGCCGGGGGCTCCCCGCAGAAGGCTGCCGTGAGGCTCGCGACTCGGCGGCGCCCTTCCCCAGAGGAGGGAGCAGGGGCATGTCTCGGCATCGCTGGAGCGTGTGCATTTTCTTGGCATCGCTCGGACGTGTGCATTTTTCCTTCGGCGAGGACCATCGAGGAGCATCCTTGATCACTTGGCGAAAAAAACACGCACGAAAGCTAACAAAAACACAGGGAATGGACGTCCGAGCGATGGCCAGTTTTGTTGAGTCGGGCCTGTCCTTCTACAGGGGGGAGATTCGAAAAGAGTGCAACAAATAGTCGGGGAGACGCTTTCTGGAGCATTTTTTTGCCATTGTTTGAGCATGCTTTGGGTATCTTTGAAGTTTATCGTCCAACATCCCCCATGTAGGGGGGCAGGCCCGACCGAAGCATTTTGGTTTGACGAGGACCATCGAGGAGCATTTCGGGCCATCTTGTGAAGAATACACGCCCGAAGCCGAACAAGGCACAGGGAATGGACCTCCGAGCGGTGGCGAGACGTGGGGGGCGGGCTCTGCGAGAGCTGCTGTTGGCGGCTGGGCGAGGGGCTTTTTGGAGGCTCGGGGGCCTTGCGGAACAAGGGCGGGAGGAGTGAGGAGTCAGCGGTGGGGCAGTGGCGGGGCACGTGGCCGAGAGCGGCAGTGCGCCAGTGGAGCGTTGGAGTCCCCCAGCCCGTCAGGGCTTCAGGGGGGGGAGAAGACGAGGAGGAGGAGGAGGAGGAGGAGGAGGAGGAGGAGGAGGAGGAGGACAAGGGCCACACGAAGACGATGCCGAGCCGGAGGAGGATGAAGAATGATTCCTCCTCGTGTTCCTTCGCTTCCGCTTCCCTGTTCCTCCTGCTGCTTCGCCTCCCCCGCGTCCTCCGCCACATCCTCTTCCCCTTCTCCTTTCCGCCTCTCCCTTCCCTTCCGTTCCCTCCTTCTCCCTTCCCTGCGATTCCCTCGCGGATAATTGTCCACTGCATGCAGCTCCGTTCCGTTCAGCCCCATTGCGGGGCGGTGACGACGATGCGACGACGCGAACGATGACAACGACTGAGACGATCACAACGACAACCATGACGGGGACGGAACGACGACGCCGTCCTCAACGACGACGGCGACGATGGGGACGACGACGACGACGACGTGGACGGGGATGACGCCGACGGCTTCAACGACGACGGCGAGAAGCGACGGCGACGCGAACACATCGCCGCGCCCCCACGCAGGGGCTGCGCCGCCGTCGCGCCCTCCGTGCTCCTGGCCTTCTCCTGAGGCGTCGACGGTGGCTCTAGCGACGACGACGACGACGACGGCGACGACGCGCGGGGCGGGCCGCTCCTCGCCAGGCACCTGGCCGTCCAGGACGGCGGGCTGGCGACGAAGCTGCTGCAGAAGGAGCAGAACTACACCAACGCGGAGGCTCCCATGGGCGACCCGTCGTTGTCGCCGCCGCCGCCTTCCTTCCCTGCCGCCGCCGTCGTCTTTGACATCGTTATCTGCGTTACCGTCGGCGTTGTCGGCGTCCGTGTGATCGTCGTCGGAGGCATAGGCACCAGCATCGTGATCGTCGTCGTCGTGTGCTCGTGGGGACGGTAGGATGATCTGGACGCGGCGGGGGCGGAGGAGGAGGAGGCGGAGGTGCAGGACAGGGGGAAGGGACAGGGCGAGAAGAGGAGGCATATGGGGGACAGAGGGGGAAGAGAGACAGGAGGAGGGCGAGGAGGACGAGGACGAGGGGGGTTGCTTGGAGAGCATCCAGGACGCAACGGTCATGCTGCGACGCACCCTCGCGTCCCGAGTCCAGTCTTCACAAGGCCCATAACTTCTTCACGCGCCTCGGGGCTCGCCCCCTTGTCGTCGTCGTAGTCGTCGGCGGCGTCGTCTTCGTCGTCTTCGTCGTCGTCGGCGGCGTCGTCGGCGTCGTTGTCGTCGTCGTCGTCGCAGTGGCCGTCGCCCTCGCCGCCGCCGTGCGCGGGGGAGAGCGCCCCTGCGTGGGCCCGCTCTCTGCGGGCGGGGGCCCCGGGGTGTGCGGGGAGGGCGGGGGGTCGCACCCTCCCGCCCCGGCAGCAGCCCAGCCAGCCTCCCCCCGAGAGCCCTGCGTGACGAGCGAACAACTCACACCCATACCCATAGGAGGGTCGAAAGGAGGGGAACTGGCTATGGGTATGGGTGCGAGTTGTCGGACCCTGGGGGAAGCTCCCGTTCGAGAGGGCACCCCTATCCGACAACACGCACCCATAGCCTCCTCCGTCCCCCAGCCAGCCTCCCCCCTCGGGAGCGGAAAAGGGGGGGCTGATGACTAGGGGGGGGGATTTCATGGCGCGGGCCATGATTTTTCCCCAGATTCCATGGCGCCTCCTCTTGTTTCAGTACGTCCCAGGCCCCCCCGCTGGGCCGCGCACGTGCCGCTGCGTTCGGGATGGTGGTGTTGAAGCTGCCCCCGCGAAACAGCTTCGCGTCGACCTTCTGAGGTGTCGGGGGAATCGTTGTTTCCACGGGGCTTCTAGGTTGTGCCGCTCTGGGGTGTCCCTGGCGCCTTAGTGGGGGCTCGTTGCTCGTGGATGCTCATGCGGGGGCCATGAACACAGTGTAACTGTTGCGACAGGTATGCCCCTCGACGTGATAGGGAAGAGAGAGAGAGAGAGTGTGCGTGGGCTTGGAAGGAAGGGAGCAAAAGGGGGTGGTCGCAGTGCAGAGGGGCGACAGTGCATTGGCGAGAAAAGGAGGGGGAAAGCGGAGCAGGAGGAGGAGGATAAGAAAAAGGAGGAGGCGGGGGAGGGAGTGTGCAGCTTCAGTGGGGGAAGGGGGAGGAGGCAAATGTACGAGGGGCGTGAAGCGGAGAAAGGAGCCAGAGGGGAGTGATGGAGCAGCAGGGGGGCGCAAGTAAGCGACTTCGCCGAGAGCTTTTTGCTGAGGGGAGCGCGGCTGGCCTCTTGGGGCTCCTTTTGGGAGCCTTTTGGGGTCTCTTTCGGGCCTCTTGGCGCCTCTTGGAGGGAAACCATCTCTGAGTAATAGTTCCCGGGCTTCGGTCGGGGTACTTTTCGCCGGGGGATCCCCAGGGGCCGCCCCGCGCGCGCGAACTAGAAATATTGTTAACCAGTTGCCGGAGATCCATAGCACGCCTCTGGCCCGTTGGGCCGGCGAATTTTCGCAGGCCCGCGCGAGCGCGAATTCCTCTACTCCAACCACTCTGTCCGTTGTGCTTCCAGCCCTTAGTGTTGCCAGCTTCCCCGTATACGTTGAAACATTGATTTTCGGCATTGCCCCACCCACCACCCTCTCTCACCGCCGCCGCCGCCGGGGGGAATGGGGGCAGCTGCAGCAGCAGAAAGAGTCCTTTCGTACGCAGCCAAAGCATATCCCACATCACAGAGAAACACAACGAAGCATCAGCAGATAGAAGGCCCAAGCGAACAGACAGCACTCAGAGCGCACCTGTCTAAGGCAGCGCCAAGCCAAGCTACCTTAACTTAATCCGAAGGCCTCAATTCGCCCTCCATTTCCAGTGGAGGGGGGGGCCGGGAACATCTGAAAAAAAACATATGGAGCCCATACCCCCCCAACCCGAATTTCGGGTCTTCGGGTTGGCTTGGGGTGGTCTGGCAGGTAGTCAGTGAGGCTCGAGGCCCCCGCGTTGGCGCAGCGCGGGGGCGCCCGGGGCGAGCTCCCGACCGCCGCGCGGCGGGCCCGGCAGGACGAGCTCACATAACCATGGGCGCGGGAGGCGTACGTACATCTGGCTCTCCTGGAGGAGGGCTCGCCGAGTGCGCCCGCCGGCAGTGCCACAAGCGGTCCACGTCGGGCCCCCCGTGCAGCAGAGGGGCGCCCCTTAGCCCGAGGGGGTCGAGGCCGATGCCCTCTCGGCGCTCCCGCGGCTCGACCTGGCGCCGCCGCCCGACGGCCGGGGCCACGGCCGCAGAGCGGTGCGAGGCGTCCTCCGGGACCTCGTGCTGGGCCGGCGCGCGCGCGCCCCGGCCCGCGGAAGCTGCCGAGCTGCGGCACCCCATGCGGCCATCGCCCAGGCCGCCCGCCGCTACTCGGCCGGCGGCCTCTCTCTGGCAGGCGGCGCGGCGCGGCGCGGCGGGCGGCCCGGCGCAGCTCGAGGGCCCGTCGTTGATGGGCCTGTCTTCCACCACCACCGCCCTCAGAAGTTGGAGGGGGGGAGGAGGAGGAGGAGGAGGAGGAGGAGGAGGAGGAGGAGGAAGGAGGAGGAGGAGGAGGAGGAGGAGAGGAGGAGGAGGAGGAGGAGGAGGAGGAGGAAGGAGGAGGAGGAGGAGGAGGAGGAGGAGAGGGAGGAGGAGGAGGAGGAGGAGGAGGAGAGAGGAGGAGGAGTGAGGAGGAGGAGGAGGAGGGCGGAGGAGGAGGAGGAGGAGGAGGAGGAGGAGTGAGGAGGAGAGGAGGAGGAGGAGGAGGAGGGAGGAGGAGGGCGAGGAGGGAGGAGGAGGGGAGAGGAGGAGGAGGAGAGGGGAGGAGTGAGGAGGAGGAGGAGGAGGAGGAGAGGGGAGGCGGAGGAGGAGGAGGAGGAGGAGGAGGAGGAGGAGGAGGAGGAGGGGAGGAGGAGGAGGAGGAGGAGGAGGAGGAGGAGGAGGAGGAGGAGGGAGAGGAGGAGGAGGAGGACCCCCTCTCACCCTCCAACTTGTGGTGGTGGTGGTGGAAAACAGGCCCGCCAGTCCTCTCGGCCGCCCGGCTGCGACCCCGCCGCGCAGCCTCTGCAGGCGGTGAAGTTGTGGCGAGGTGCTCGTAGCCTGTGAGGCGCCGTAGCCGCCGCCGCAGTGCGCGCGGGCGCGGGAGCGCGCCGCGCGCCCCCCCCTCCCCAAGAGGCTCGCTCCCTCTCGAGGCGTGGCTGCCTGGCTTTCAGTCGGGCCTGTCCCCCTGCGGGGAGGGATGTGCAGAGACAGCCAGGGAAGAATCAGGCTGCAGGGGGCTGTGTTTGATTCTTCCTGGAGCATCTGGGGCCCACTTCTGGGGTGTGTTGAGTTCTTCGCCCGGAATCCCCCTGTGGGGGGACAGGCCCGACCTGAGCCTAGTTGACGGCCGCTGATCCAGGGAAAGCGTAAGCTGGCACCAGCACGCACGGGTCTATCGTGCGTGCGGCACGCATCTCGCCTCGCGGCCGCGTAGCCTTCACGCCGGGCGGGCCGCATACGTATATAGCTTCGCCAAGCGCCCAGAAGACAGGGGTCGCTCACACAGGTGCGCAGGCCCGATGACGCCGTGAATCTCGACGCCTGGCCCTGCTCTCAGGAGGGAAAACAAACACACGGACACATTTCATCGTTGATTCCCCAGAACATATGGGAGAATTTGGGAAGCTGGGGGAAGACAACAACCCAGAACATCTAGGAGATATGGGGAATCATCTTATTTGTGTGTATTTATTTGTGTGTCCCAGGGCCCCTTCAATCTGGACGCCCGAAATGGGTATGGAAAGAATGGGTACAGTGCCCAACAGCAGTTCCTATTCATTTTGAACAGGATTCGCTGTCCACGCCGCCCCGGCCTGTGTCCATCCGATACAGAAGGCCTCCTGCCCAACAGCGGCCGCTGTTGGTTTGGGACAACATGTTTCGTTGGGCACTGTGCCCCTTTTTTCCGTACCCACTTCGGGCGTTCGAATTCAAGCTCTGCGGCCAGGGCCAGGTCTGCTGTCCGCGGAGGTAACGGAGCCGTCTGCCCACCCTTACCAGCCTGGAACATATCCCTATCCCTATGCTGGGCACCTCCTGAGCACGATGCCAATCTTAGGGATTTCCTTTTTTTTGATGGCGAATCCATAAGATTGTCATCGCCTTTTGGCGTGTCAATCTCAGGGATAGGGATACGTTCGAGGCTGGTGACATCCAGCTGTTCAGACGGACGTGTGTTCGACGGACGGTGGTCCACACGAGCGGGCGCCACAGCAGCGCGCAGGGTCTGCCCCTGCGTCCCGTCCTCCGGACTCCTCGACGCGAACAGATGGTCTACCCTGCCTAACATGGTCTGCCTCTGGGGCGGCAAAGAGGGGGATGATGACTAGGGGGGGGATATCATGGCGGGGGCCATGATATTTCCTCAGATTTCATGGCGCCTCTTCTTATTTCAGTACGTCCCTGGCCCCCCCGCTGGGCCGCGCACATGCCGCCAGTCATGATTTGCACCCCCCTCTTGGACACCCCCCTCTTGGCCGCTCCCGATAGATGGTTTATCTTGTTGAACATTGTCTACCACAGCCTGGGAGCTGTCCAGGGCAACGTTACTGCCATGAATGTTGGCGTGCATGCGCGCTGTGCAGCGCTGGAGCTCGTTCTCGTCGCCGTCGGGAAGAGACGCCTTACGGTGGGTAGCGGGGGGGCAGGGGAAATGCATGAACGGAAAGTGACATCTACGCTGCCCGTTCCATCTCTTGGCGAATGGAGTTGCAAGATATCGTATAGGGTCGGCTCCCATTCATTCCCGAGTCTCTACATTGTTTTTGCCTCAATGGTGATCCAGCTGGTATGTGAATACGACTGGTATAGCTTCTCCACTGTTTCTCCCCTTCCTCTTCGCCCTCATCAGTTCTTCCTTCTTTCGACATGCTCCTCCTCTACTCCTCGCGCTTGCTTGGCGGAGTGGTGGCAAAGCGCCCACTCCGGAAGGCTGCACGCTCGTCTGCTGCGCCGCCACAACGGGTGGCGAACTTGCTCGAAGGGTAGTGGCTCCGACAGCCGCGCCGGGCAGGCAGTGCTGTTTTCGATTGGGGCGTTCACCCTGTGATAGCCAGGCATAGGAGGAGGAGGAGGAGGAGGAGGAGGAGGAGGAGGAGGAGGAGGAAGGAGAGGGGGAGGAGGGGGAGGAGAAGGAAGAGGAGCAACAGTTGCTTTCAGCTGGGGCGTTCACCCTGTGATGGCTACGTATGCTCGGCGTGAGTGCGCCCTCTCCCGCCACTGCATCTCCGCGCGCACTGTCGGTCCAACCCGCTGCAATCACGTATAGTCTTTCCGTGCGGGCCGTGGCACAACCATGCGTTGCAGTCTTTGCTCGTTTGCTCCGGATGAGGGGCTCAATGCTCCTCGCCCTCCTCCCTCCTCCACTCCCCTTCCTTCTACGCACTTGCTGCATATCGTCGCTGACTGTACCGATCCCGCCGTTGCCATCACTGAAATTGCTGAGGGTTTGCGCGCATGCCAGCCGATCGTGCGGCGAGCGGAGCTGCACCTCGATTTCGTGATTGCCCATTTCGGGACATTTTTGGTGCACCAGCGCCCCTCACGGACCATCTATGTTTTTCAGGGCGAAAGAAGATTCGAACTGCGTTTCACCGTGCCGCGAGCCGAGCTGCGCCTTGATTCAGTGATAGCCAATTTCGGGACATTTCTGTGGTGCGCCAGCGCCGCTCACGGACCATCTTTACTTTTCGGGGCGAACAAAGGTTCGAACCAGGTTTCACAGTGCTCGAGTGCGCTCTGCGTGTTGCGAGGGTCCATCCCCGGTGCTCACATTTCGTGCGGATCCCTCGCGTACGGGGGAAAACGGCTCCTTCCTATCTAGTTCCTTCACTTTGACCTGCTCCTCCTCGCCACATCCTTGTCAGGTTGCCCAAGAGCTGAGGGCTCTTCGCAGAGTGCAGTACAGGTCATCATGGCTGCGACCTGGAGGTTCCGGGCTTAGACGTCTTGCGAAATTCCACGGGATTCAGACCCAACGGGAATTGCAGCCATGCGATACGAAGTTGCACAGTCGCAGGTTCATGTTCGGCAGCATGTCATCTCGCCCCTGTGCTGGGCAGCCCAGGCGAGAGGGAGACCCCGGCAGGGGACTAACGCGATATAGTTTCTTCTCGTTCCTTTTTTCCCATCCCTCGTTTTCCCCCAGTCCGCCCCCCCATCCCTATGGACGTCGACGCTACAACATGTTCCTCAGCAGGCTGTAGCCGCTTTAGATCGAGTCTGAGCATTCAGGCGTTTCGCCTCTCCAGCCACATTATTCTCTCGACGAGACCATTGGTCCCTATTCAGACACCTACATATCACCATATGCGTTTAGAGGGGATCGGCATCATGTTAATATATTATGGAGGGGTGACAGTTTAGACTGTTTCACGGACTTCGTGTGGGGCAGCCTGACGCGCTTATAATATACGCACAACGATTTCCATGCAAGTGCAGACAAGTCACACGCGCACGCGCGAATGGGACAATCCACAGTTTTATACGCAAGCGACGGGTGCCCTTGACAGTTTCAATTTCAGCTACAATGGGTATTGGTTACCTTTCGGGGCACGCGTGCCCCTTTCGGGGCACGGGGGGGGCGGGTGACTGTGGAGGGGGGCACGCGTGAATGTGAAGGCACTCAGCCGTGAGAACTCTGTGCAACGCTCCCTTGATGAGGGTGATACACGCGTGGGTCTCAGTATCGATTGTGACGGTCATGCGCATTCGGCAATTTGCAAAACTCTTGTTGGTCCGAATGGTTGCGAAGGATACGCTGGTCACGCTCGCGTTCACACTCGATCGGGCGGCCCAGACGCCTCCACGTCCTGTTCCAGCTCCATCTCCAGCGCTAGTGCCCGGCCCGACGTCAAGCCCCCTCCCTCCTCCCCTCCCTCCCCCCCTTGCCCATCTCCCCACCCCGTCCCCCTCCCCTGCCCCGGGGCTGGTGGAGGACGTGGCATCCTTACACGCACGCGTGCCCTTCCACTTCAACGCACACCTTGTTTTCCCAACCCGAGCCGCCGTTCTCGCCTTTCGAGCAGTTGGCGCGTTGACATCGACATCCACGGCTCCCTTTTGCTGCCCCATTTCCGCGCAGGACGCTGGGATCCAAGACAGTCACCGAGCGCGTTCCGCTACTTGCAGAGTGCCTACTCGCAAACGTCAGGAAAAAACATGTCTCTTTCGTGCAACGGATCGTAAATCACCGGCGGCGGATCCAGGCCATTTGCGAGTAGTTACTCTGCCAGTAGCGGAGCGCGCTCGTCCAGACGGGTGGAACCTGAGCGCGCGCGAGGGTTCCAGCACGTATGTGTGTGTGTGTGTGTGTGTGTGACGCGAGAGGGCACCGGCCCTGGGAGGGACCAGGCGCCCACACACCAGAGGCCGCACGGCCCACAGGCCAAAGATGCTTGGAGGCAGCCAGGACAAAGTCGCAATGACGCGCCACGACGACGGCACAAAAAAGCACCCAGTAAACTCTCGAGGCCTCGAAGAGCATTTTTGGACCCCTACTTCTCGTATCGTAATATGCTTATATTTCAACTCCCTCACTCTTTTGTGATCGTGGGAGGGAGGTCGGGGCCAGGGCACGAAACCGCCACATTGGTGGGACCAGCCGCGCGAGTGGATTTGAAGTCGACGTGTACGTATACGGCTGGACCGCAGTATAAGATCGAGGTCAGTTCGGGGAGGGAGATTCTTCGCGGTTATTGGATGTTCTTGCGCATCCTGGGGGGGGGGGTACCCTCGAATGTTCTTCAGCTTGGCCGGCGGAGGGTCCGGTGTTTTTGAGGGCTGCTCTTCTGCCCTACCGTCGGGGCCCTGAAGAAGGAACCCTTTTCGTTGGGAAGGGGCTCCGTGTTCCTTAAGTGTTTCACAGCTAGCCTCAGGTTTCCCTTATGTTTTCGATGGGAAATCGAAGTTTAACTTATGGAAGAAAGGGGCCTCGTTCCTTATGTAGGGTTCCTTAGGTCAAGGCCCCGACTGTAGGTCCAGCCGTACACTTGATTATATTACGAAGGCCTCACGGCCAGCGCCGCCGACCCTGAAGGCGGGACCTCCCCCCGGACCCCCGCTGGCGACCCTTCCCGGGACCCCGCCGGGACCCCGCCGGGTGCCAGTACTCTTGCCGGGGATCATTCCCCCCACCACAGGCGGGACCTCCCCCTGCATGACCCCCGCTGGCGACCCTTTTCCAGGACACGCCGGGACCGTTCCCGGACGGGGGAGTGGTATTTTAACCCAGGACCACCCCCACACCAAAAGCGGGACCTCCCACAGGACACCGGCTAGTGCCCCGGGACCCGACGGGATCGCAGAGGGGTGTGTATTCAGACCCAGGGCTACACCCCACCACAGGCGGGACCTCCCTCATGCAGGACACTTGCTGGCGACCTCCCTGGGATCCACCCTACTACTATTACCTCTACTGCAACTACTGCGACTACTACTACCACTACTACTACCACTACTACTACTACTACTACTACTACTACTACTACTACTACTACTACTACTACTACTACTACTACTACTACTACCACTGCTACTACTACTGTTACTGTTACTGTTACTGTGCTGTTACTACTACTACTACTACTACTACTACTACTACTACTACTACTACTACTACTACTGATGCTCCTTTCTCTCCCCGCTTCCCACTTTCCATTGACTACTAGCACTACGAACTACTACTACTACTACTACTACTACTACTACTACTACTACTACTACTACTACTACTACTACTACTACTACTACTACTACTACTACTACTACTACTACTACTACTACTACTACTACTACTACTACTACTACTACTTACTACTTACTACTACTACTACTACTACTACTACTACTACTACTACTACTACTACTACTACTACTACTACTTCTACTACTGCTGCTGCTGCTGCTGCTGCCACTACAGCCCCTTCTTTTACACCTGCCACGGCTACGAGCACAGGTACTACTGCTACGACTACTACGACTACAACTATAACTACGATCATTTCTACAACTACCAGTACAACTACTACTACTACTACTACTACTACTACTACTACTACTGCTATTACTAGTCTTCTCATTAGTCATATTACGACTACGACTACCATTACTAATACTAGCACCTCTGCTACGACCACTACTATCTTGACTCCTTTTAATATTGTTTCTATGGCGACTACTACTACCAGTACTACTTTTACTACTCTTACTCTTTCCCTTTTTATTTTGTATTACTACTAGTACTACGACTGCTACTACGACGACCGCTTAATTGTTTCTCCTACGACTATACTGCTACTACCACTAGTATTACGATTGCGACGAGACTTGTCACTTCCACGGCTATTACTGCTACGGCTACGACAAAGACTACTACTACGACTACTACTACGACGATTACTACTACTACTACTACTACTACTACTACTACTACTACTACTACTACCAATGTTACTATTTCTATTGCTACTACTACTACTACTACTACTACTACTACTACTACTAGTTAGAGTAGTAGTAGTAGTACTACTACTGGTGCTACTACCAGTACTACCACTACGACCACCACTACCACTAATAATATTCCCACTAGCTACTACTAGTGCTAAGACTCTCACCGTTGATACTATTA